GAATAAAATAATAATAGAGTAATACTAATGAGTAAAAGAGGGAGCAAACAAGTGTTCTGTGATAGAATCATGCTCTCGCATGAGAAAGAGAGAAATCACTTGACTATCTTCTAAACCTCCACCCTAATCCTTGACCTCCGTCCTTCTCTATCTAGGATCATATCCTTGGTGAGTTGAAGATGCGTCATATCATGTCTAATCACCTTTTCTCAATTCTTCATCGGTCTACCTCTACCTCTCCTTAGACCTACAACTGCCAATCTCTCGCACCTCCTCACTAGGGCATCTTTACGCCTACTCTTTACATGTACGAACTATCTCAGCCTCGCTTCCCACATCTTGTCCACCACTGAGGCCACTCCCACTTTGCTTCATATATTTTTATTCCTAATTTAATCTTTCCTACTATGCCCACACCTCCATCTAAGCATCCTCATCTCCGCTACTGTCATCTTCTGAATGTGTGAATTATTGACTGCTCAACACTCTGCCTCACACAACATAGTGTGTCTAATAGCCACCCTATTGGACTTTCCTTTTAAGTCTCGATGATATGTGCTTTTCACATGATGTGAGCCTCTATTTTATCCACCTTGTTCAAATACAATGTGTGACATTTGATTTCGCCATCTCCTTGAAATACTTGAAGCTTCCTTCTTGGGGATAACATATGTATCAATCCCCACTTTCACATCCGCCTATTGTGATGCGTTATTGAACTTGCACTTCATGTACTCTCTTAGTTCCGTCTGCCTGAAACCTTTAGACTCTAGGGTCCATCTCTAGTCTATCGTTAATTTTGACGCACGTCTCGTCAATCAATACTATATGTCATCTGTAAATAACATACACCATGATACCACCTTTGAGTATATATCAATTTATCCATCATTACGACAAATAAAAAAGGGCTAAGAGCTTATCCCTAGTGCAACGCCATCTTAACTGGGAAGTGTTCGCAGTCTCTTTCCATTATTCTCACTCGGGCTTTCACTCCATCGTACTGGTAGTTGCACATGTCCTTAATCGCTCTACTGTATGCCAGTAACAAACCTCTAGACTTCAAGCATCTCCACAAAACCTCCTTGGGACTTTATCAAATGCTTCTTTTTCTAAGTCAATGAACACCATCTGTAAGTTTCTTTTCCTATTCCTCGACTACTCCAACAATCTCCTCAGAAGATAAATGGTGGCAAAAGGTGGAGGATTTGTGGCTTAGGTCGCAGGTTCAAGCCCCACACCATGCAAAGCAAAGCCCGGTATTTAAGTGGAGAAGGGTAGAGGGGCGGGCCCATTATCCACCGAGTTTAGAAGGCTGCGATTGGTCCAAAGGGCGGGTCACAGACGGATTTCTCGGTTATCAAAAAAAAAAAAAAAAAAAAATAAAAATAAATGACTTCTAGAGTTGATCGCCCCAACATGAATTCAAATTGGTTCTCAAAAATAGACGCATCCTTCATTATATTCATCTCTACCACCCTCTCCCTAGTGTGGCTTAGTAGTTTAATACTCCTATAGTTGTAATTTTGAATATCAGTATGATGGGATCATTGTACTCCACCTCCATTCTTCGAGCATTTTAACTCGTCCTAAAAATGACATCACTACCTACTTTACCTGCTCTTTTCCAAAAATTCACATGAATCCCATCTGGCCTGATCGTTCTTCCCCCTATCATCTTACGGATTGCACCTTTGACCTCCTCAAACTTTATATGCCTATAGTACCTAAAATCTTGACGGCTCTCAGAAAACTCTGAATCACCCAACACAATATTCCTGTCCCCTCTACATTGAAGAGTTTATGGACGTATGCTGGTCTATCGGAACAACCTCTCTTAAGGTAGGTAAGGTTTGCGTAAACTGTATCCTCCCCAGACCTCACTTGTGGGATACACTAGGTATGTTGTTGTATCTGCTATCCTCTCTTCCTTCTTCACAATCTTATACTTCTCCTTATTAGTCCTATTTTCCGTCTCTACCACATGTAAGCTCTTGGCTTCCACTTTCCCTTGGACCTCTATATATTCGCCCACCAGCCCCCTTTATGTCTACCAAAGTTACCCTTCGAGACCACTTAATACTTCTCTAGTTATTTCCCTAATACAATTGGCTATCGTAGTCCACATATTATCAATAGTCACCCCCTCCCCCCTAATCCTTGGATGGTCATAAATTCCTTGTCCTCCTCTTCCTTGGGTTGTAAGATACCCGGCATAACCTTGTCGTCCTTGCAGAACCTTTATTGCTGCCACCGTTCTACGAAAGGTGATCAAGTGCTACTGCCTCTTGAAACTTGAGTTAGCTATCACCAAATCCTGTTTGTGATTCCTAAAGTAATTTAATGGTTAGATTTTTGAATTTGAGAAAGAAAACACCAGCCCCTTTAAAAATTGACCTAGTAAAGGCTTTATGAAATTTTTGTTCTATTACTTTTTCTAAGATTTTAAAAAGGCAGTCAACACACATGGAGGTATTCCGTTGATTTTCTCGAATGTGTTGGTAATGAGATTGCTTCTACAACATTTCCATTTTTTGCCTGGGTCCTCCTTGGTAGTTTTTCTAGATTTGACATTGTGGCAGTCTCTGATGTGTGATACAATTGTGCTTTTCAGCCTGACCCTGATGGCAGGAGGGTCGAGATTACTTGTGCAGCTTGTGGCGGCCATCTTGGTCATGTTTTCAAGGGTGAGGGATTCCCTACCCCAACGGATGAGCGCCATTGTGTCAATAGTGTTTCCCTCAAGTTTACACCAGCAAATTCTTAATCCATCGCATTTGGGATGTGATGGTTATCACAGCTTAATCTCTTTCATGCATAGTTTATATGCTGTTATGTTAACTACTGATGGCAGTGTTGTTTTTTGGAAATAAAAGTTACTTTTAGTCTTGTGCTTTCTTGGAAATGATTCTTAACCTCTTGTAATTTAGCTTCAATATATAGGAAAATCTAGACGAATTCAATATAAATATTTTTCAACTTTGATATAACTGCTGATGCACGGAATGCTGTTCATATCTCAAGTCCAATGTCTTTTCTTACTAATTTGTCATGACCCAAAAGTCGAGGTCATGATGGCACACACCCCGAAAACCCCCAGTAAGGTGTGTAAGCTGAAAATAACACACATATGAGACTCCCAAAGGGAAGTCATGCCACAAACGATAGAAAAGAACAACAAAGAATATCTCAAAACCTGGTGGCATAAGTATAAAGAGCATCTAATACAACTTTAGAGTATGAAACACATCACAAGTCTCTGATAAGAAATAAAGACTGAAAATATGAGATGGAACTAATGGTGGTCTGGAAACAAGATCTCACCACCATTTAGAAAAGATCTCCAAAGCTAGAAACAATCAGCCACCGTTCTTTCAATTTAATCATTTTAATATGAACTTCAATTGCTTTTGTTTTAGTAATTTTCTAATTTATTAGTTGTTGATTATTTAGTAATGGTACTTTTATGACGATAATACATTTTGATTTGTAACAATTCTCACATGGGTCTTTATTAAAATAAAAAATAAACTACTCACATGGATTATTTTATTAAACGTTTTTTACTTTAATTTTACCACAAATTTAAATTGTGATAAAGAAATTATATTTACTCAATCGTCTCATTTAAAAAAATCAAGTAGATCAATTTTTTCAACTAATTAAAGTCTTACACTTAATTATGGAAAGATCAAACAAACAAATCATAAAATCTGAAATAGCTTATAGAAAATTTAGATAGACAGGAATAATTATATACATTCACCCGGTTCAAAGCTGAAATACTCCTAATATTGTGTTTAATAAGCTGTTTAGTGTTCCTTTATAATTTTATTAATAGACCAAATATGTATCATTAGTGTGTCAGAGGAGGAAAACAATTAGCCGTTTTGCTTATCATTTTAATTCAGAGTTAAGTCAAATTAATTCTACCAAACTAAAGAAATAAAGCACCAAAGTATAACAAATGGTTAATTAGATGACCATTTTCCTGCAAAGATTGTACTGTAATTTTTAGCTATGTTAGCAATTGGAACTCCAAGAAAAGTTACATAAAAGCTTTGACCCACCCCACTTTGCCCTATTTCATCACTCTGCTCTGCCTGGTTTAGCCTTTGCCATGCTCTACCCCAATTGTCATCCCTAAAACGAGTAGCTGTTTTGAGGTTTTCATGTAGAAGACCTTGTCATCATCCCCTGTAATGTTCTCAATTAACTATTAACCTTACTATAAAGTACCACACAAGAAGACTTAGATCGAATTGCTAAAACCAACTCAGACCTTCCTTTGGTACTTGCCCATGTACAATCTAGAAATGTTGTGAGCACTATGTCCTTAAGAGTATATATACTTCTCCAAAACCCAAACTCTATTTTAGTCTCTTTTTCTGTAATGTCAACTGTAAGATCACTCACCTCAGTAGCCTAAATGTATAATCATCTTGATCGCTTATAAATTGCACATTTTTCACCTAGACTTCCCAAGTTAACTTGAAAAAAAAACATTGCCTATTACATTCCCCAAAGAATATAAACAGAAAAATAAGTTTTTAGCACATAAAAGATGAACCAGCTATTATTCATAAGAACAACTATTCAATAAGTGATGAAAACTTAAATGCCTACATTTACCTGCTAGACATAATAGCTGCTCAACAACAGGGCTCAGGTGTTTAGAACACAGAGTGCCTATGGTTTAGTTTCCCCGATTACTCATCTCATCATATAAAAAATCTCAGTCATACTTACCTGACTTTCACGGCACCAGCAGCAGAACTGCTAAGATTTGGCCAAAAAAGCAGACCACTTTCTTAATAAATAGCTCATCATCACCATCTTCCAACTCATCATTAGCGAGTTTCAAGTAACAAATGCATCTTCCAGCTTCAGAAAAGATAAAGCCACAGATCATGGTGGATGAATCTCATGCAAGATCTTGGAAGCTTGCAGATACTCTGTTAACTTTGTGACTAAGATGCATTCATACTTAGTTAATGCAATTGAAGAACAAAGATCAATTCAGATATATTTAAATCTTTTTTCCGCTTACATAGCTTTAAAAGTCATTTCCATGCAGAAAATACGGATGAAAAAGTAGCATCTTCTTGTGCTGAATAAACTTAAAGAATGTGAACTCATTTACACATCAGACATGAGGACGGAGAAAGAATTGCTACCAGTTCAGTTAACAAGCAACAAAACTAGCTGTTCAAGCTTTGTCAATTGGCAGCTATATAAGTGAAAGATCACCAGCAGGAATGGATCTCTTGACAAGCTTTGCCCAAGACTCGTTGGTTTCCATAATAACCTTAAGTGCATAATCCTGTAATAGCAGATGAATTAGATAATTAGCAGGGTCATGCAAAGCCAAGCAGCATAGCTTGTTTAGCTGGAGAAATATTTCTAACATCCCATCCTTTTCATTCTTCTTTGTGGGGCCTGGGAAGAGGGGTTGCAAGAAGTGTCTACAAAAGTACTACCATTGTTCTTTTTTTCTTCTCATCAGTTGCTAAATACTAAATATTAGTATTCTTGACACATTCATGTCATTATGTGCTAAATAATTAAATCAACATCTTGACACATTCATGTCATTATCTGCTAAATATTACTCCTAGTATTCTTGACACATTCATGTCATTATTATTATTGCTCTCCTATCTTATTCTTCGATTGTACTATCACATGTTGTTTCCTTTGCTTCAATTATCGTATTAGTTGTTGTTGTTACCATTCTTTTCTTCATTATTATTCAAAATGGCTTCTTCACTACTGTATTTCCTAGTCAATCTTGTTTTATCCGAAACAACCTCTCTACCTTCACAAAAGGTAGGGTAAGGTCTGCGTAGACGCCACCCTTCTCAGACCCCCACTTGTGAAATTACACTGGGTATGTTGTTGTAACATAAAAAAGCATTCAAGATATTATAGTTACATAACAAATAACTACAGACAGCCACAGAAAGAATTTATCTTCATATGTAATAACTCAAAGACGACCCCAGATGTGGATGGCAAAATGTCGCTAACTCAAAGACGACCCCAAATGTGGATGGCAAAATGTCGCTAACTCCCAATAGGCATAACAATTGAAAATTTAAGATTGGTCTCTTCCAATGCATAAAGTCTCAAGATATTACTCTCTCTATCAAAATTAACCGTCACTTTAGCTCAAAATATTTGTCACTTTAGGAATTCAAGACTAAAGTTGACAGTTGTTTCCAACTATACCCTTAATATTAAAGAAGTAGTTCTTTTTAATGTTGCTCAATTCTCAAAAACAATTAGTAGTCAAATATTGAAATGGTGACAACCATTGGAAAGCTAACACCGTTCACATTATATGTCATCATTATTTCTTCAATATGTAACCCTTTATCTCATATAAAGTCTCTTCCAGTACAAAACTTCAACAAAATATACTCATATAAATGAGGAGAAAATAAATCTACTTTTATTCCCTCATCCCATTTTAATAGTTGATTTAGCTTTTTTCACGCCTATCAATAAATAAAAGGTATAATTTATTAAGTTACCCATATTTAATGAAAATAGTTTGATTTTTTCCTCTTACATACTTGAATATATTTTGTTAAAGATCTTTACTAGAAGAGACTATTTATATGATATAATTAAGGAATTGAATATTAAAGAAAATATGACTACATATAGTGCGAACGATATTAACTATCTAATGATTGTCATCATTTAAATGTGTGACTAACAGTCTATTAGATGTTTTTTAAGAATTGAGCAGTATTAAAAAGAATTATTCCCTCCATCCCTATTTTAACGGCCGTTTAGCTCTTTCACGCTCATTAAGAAAACAATAAATACAAAGTATAGTTTATTAAGGTACCCCTATTTAATTCTCTCTTCGTCCCAAATTAACAGTCATTTAGCTCAAAAGATTTATCTCAAATTAGGAATTCAAGACTAAAATTGACAATTATTTCCAAACATACCCTTACTATTGAAGAAAAGGTTTATTTTATACTTCTCGATTCTCAAAAATCATTTAATAGTCAAATATTGGAATGTTAACAGGCTATTGGAAAGTCAACACCATTCACACCATATATCCAAATTATTATTTCTTCAATATTCAACTTTTTATCACATATAAGGAGACTTCTTCAGTAAATATCTTCAACAAAATATACTCAACTTTTTAAGACGAAATATTAATTTACTTTCATTATATAGGGGTAACTTAATAAATTATACCTTTTATTTATTGTTTATTTAATGGGCGTGAAAAAAGTTACATCAACAGTTAAAATGGGACGGGGGAGTAAATGTAGATTTATTTTTCATCTTAAAAACTTCCTTCGGGGTGGCCCAGTGGTTTGAGCTTGGGACTTCCATGTTGGAGGTCTCAAGTTCGAAACCCCTTGCCAGCAAAAGCAAGGGGTTTGCCTTCTGGGTCGAGCTCGTCGCACCAGGCTTGCCTAGTGCAGGTTACCTCTCCTATGTGGTTTGCGAGCTATTGCATAGGAGCGGGGGTTTTACCCTGTGCGCACCCAAAGGGTAGCGGCTGCGGGTTTCCCTTGTCATCAGAAAAAAAAAAAAAAAAAATTCATCTTAAAAACTTGAGTATACTTTGTTGAAGATCTTACTAGAAGAGACTATATGAGATAAGAAGTTGAATATTACAGAAATGACCATTACATATAACATGAATGGTGTTAGCTCTCCAATGGTTGTCACCATTCAAAGCATTTTGAAAATTGAACAACATTACAAAGAACTCCTCTTTAATATTAAGGCATAATTGAAAACAACTGTCACTTTAGTCTTGAAAACCTAAAGTGACAATTATTTCGGGAGAATATTTTGAGCTAAAGTGATCGTCAATTTGGGAAGGAGGGAGTACTTCTTTAATATTAAAGATATCGTTGAGAACAATTGTCAACTTTAATCTTGAATTCCTAAAGTGATAATAATTTTGGGACAATCTTTTTGAGCTAAATCACTGTTAATTTTGGACAGAGGGAGTATAAAATAGGGGTAACTTAGCAAACTATATCTTGTATTTTTTTCCTTAATGGGCGTGAAAAGAGTTGAAGCAACAATTAAAATGGGACGGATGGAGTAATAGATGAACAGAAACGAGCATCTTCAACAAATACTTAAGCAAATATGTCCAATAATTTCTTGGTAAGAAGTAATCAACATAATAACATCCTGCAAGATACCTTGTTAGCTGGCTTGTTCCCAAGTCCAAACTTATTTGCAGGCTTCCCATCAGGAATCTTATAGTCTCTAAACCAGTTCCTGATAGCTGTCAGAGTGCCCTGAAATATTAACAGAATTAGTTTGACGAATATTGACAAATTAGGAACATTTAGTGAAGAAAAGCACCAAAGAATGTGGCTAACCATTAGGTCTTAGGTTCAAATCCCAGCGGACACAAAAACATTAGGTGATTTGTTAGTACTTATGTTGGTGGAGGTAGCAAGTACCCCGTGGAAATAATCTAGGTGTGCTATATATATACTCAGTAACAAAGTAGCTCGGTCCTATCTATCTCAGTCATGACTTGACATAACCATTTTGAAACACGGCACTTGAACACAGTATTGAACAAGTTTTACCTCTAATTACAGTCAACATTCAAGAGAATTCACTCTCTCCATTGAGAGAGTAAAACAAAAAGAATCATGGAACCTCACTCAGTAGCTAAAGTGGGATTCCTCTCAGTACTAGTGTCGTTAAGATCCATTGCAACCTTTTAGTACCTCTATTGATAAATCAGAAGTATTTCACTGTTACCAGACTAAAATGGAGTACAACAGATGTACAATACATGAGTGTAGCTCAAATACAGTTACTGTCCAATCTGCCTAACTATCTATTCAGCATCGAATGTTAGTAGAGAACCTCCAATGATTCGTACCACATTAACTGATTTGCCAGTAAGAATTTAACAGTTGCAGATACAGATGTACTAGACACCGGAAGGAATGCATTCCAGTAAAGGTCATCAAAACGGTTGTGAAACAATATCAGAGAGGTTCGGGATCTGGTACAGATATAGAACTAAGATAGATGATATATAGCTAGGCTTTCTCTACATGCAATATGAATGGACCATCAAAAGCACTGGGGAAGTGTTTCCATGCTTGCAGGTTTGCTACAGAATTGGGGAACTAACAGCAAGCCTTCAGGATCTTCTTGTGGAGTAGGTTCACAAACCAAATATCTTACCTTTTCCGTGTAGATATATGGAATGGTTACTTGGCATGCTTGTATTTTTCTCTTATTCATTGTACTAGTAATAAGGATTAAGGAGGCTATAGTCAGTGGCGGAGCCAGAAATTTCACGAAGGGTGTCCAAAAAGCTTAAACGCTGCAACAAACTAGATTTGAACTCGCAACCACCTTAAGCCTGAATTTTTAAGGCGTGCTAGAAACCACTAGGCTACAACACTTCATTGTTTGAAGGGTGTCCAAAATATGTTATTTAACCATTTAGCATATCATTCTACTTGTATATATAGTATAACTTACCGACGAAGGGTGTTTGCTTGGACACCCTGAGTATAGTGTAGCTATGCCACTGGCTATAGCGTATAACAGCCAAGAAATAATTCAGAGCAAAAGTTCTAGTCCATCTTGTTTGTACAAGTTCAAATGATGCAACTTCACATAAGGGATTGGTGATTGTAATTTAGACAAACTAATCCACCTTCCAGCAAAGATTAAGTTGAGAGCAGAAGCTGTATGGTTGAAATTTGCAACCAAGGATTAAAGATTTGCTGGGAGGATTAGTATACCAGCAGTTATAAGAGAAGTTTTGCCTAAATAACTTTGGCCATATTGTACTTGGCTAAACTCTCACTTCAATAGTGTAAGCAGCTACTTCTGAAAAATGCAACTTCACTCTTGTTATTCATAAAAGTTAAATTCTCTCTGTTATATCTATTGCTGTTCCTAGGAAATGAACACTGGGGAACATCTAAGATCGTCCAGTCAATGGAGCCTATTGAAGAACTAAATTACTGATAAATTAACCAAACCATAGAACATCCATGACACATCTTGGCATAGCCATATAAAGTCGAACATCCTTAGAGAGAAATATCTTTAACAGGGCATATATAACAACACCAAAGGGAGTGCCAAAAATTGATGATGCATAATGTTCTCAAATCATCAACATGTGAGGGTAAAGGAGAGTGAAAAACATAAGGGCCTTATTGCACTAAAACATACCGGGAAATGCTTCTCCACATCATCAATATCATTGACAAGTGAAGCTTGGGGATCATCTAGAGATATAGCAACTATTTTCCAGTCAAGTTCTCCTTCATCAATCATTGCCAAAGCAGCTAAAGTTTGACCTTCAAGACCTGGCCAATTTTAGCACGGCTTTCCCCAATCTCGACAACATCAACTACAGACAAATTAGTCATCAAGAAAGTTAACCAACCTCTAAATTCATTTTTTCCTTTTTGATGGATGATTAGAACAAAGCTCATTTAACAATTTAGGAGCACCGGAAACATACCAGGGTCATTATCTCCAAATGCCCCCTCAACTTCAGCATTTGCCAATGAAGGGTCTTCCCAGGTTTGAGGAAGCAATCCATAGTTCCAGTGAATATTATATCTGAGAACGGTACAAGACACACATCAATTCAAACAACAAATAACATGAACTTCACACAACTATCACAACAGAATATGAGCTAAAAGCTGCAACAGACTAAAACCTATTGGTCTTCAGCAGTTAACTCATGTAGGCCACAAACTTGTCATCCTTTTAACCTTCTTTTCCCACTTAAGGCAACTGGTGGGCCAAATAAATAATTCCACAGGACACAATCATACTAGAAGTATGTTGGGAAATAGTGACATAGAATAGCCTTACGGATAGTATCTAAGTTTCCCCTTCTTTGTGTCTTGTTTAATTGGTGTGTACTGCTCATCCGTAGCAACTTCCATCTTAGCACTTGATTCTTTGGGAATTTCAGCAATGAAATTGAAAACACCATCACCTAAATGAAGTGGTATATCATGCCAAGGAGATACCTGCAGATTATACCGATATGATGTGACTGTAGGAATTTATGTTTATTTTGACAAATATTAGTAATAAAAATGACTAATGTTGACAATGAAGTATGAACTAAAATGTAAAGAGATATATAGTAGCAAAAACACAGTCTTTGTTCTTGTTGTCTTCTTAATTAAATTTTATTTGTAATAATCCTCTCTAGGAATCTTCAAAAACTAGACAAGGTGCAAATGCCTCGGGCAACACTTTACATGAACAAGGAGTTCCGAACAATATGAAGCTTGACGTTGAGCATAGACTAATCTAGGAATTTACACACACTCTATGAAGATAGTGGGCCCACCAGTAACCATTGACAACCATGTAAGTCCACCCATTGCAACAAGATAGAGCATTTGGAATTTTTTTAATTTTTTTAAAATTGGAGTTAGGGGAAGGGGAAGGGGAGGAAATTACATTATGGGAATCGAACCCTCACCAACAAGGTCATGACCAATAAGGTGGGAGTACATGCAGCCAACCAACTAAGCTACAAAGATTCCGCAGAGCATTTGGATTGATCATGTAAACTAAAATGTTTATCCTGAAAAATCCCACATTGCAATAGAGTAAGAAATCAAAAATTGTAGGGCATTAACCTTTTTGCCGGAATCTTCCGCAAAAAATACACGATAATCTAAGGTTTCAGGCTGTCCGTGTTGTTTGATTTGAATCTGGGGATTGTAAATAGCACTGCAACTGAAAAGTCGCCTCCTTTGTGCAGCAGCACCTCCATTACGGAAGCAAAGGTTGAAAATGCTGGGCTTTTGGAGAGGACTTTTCGATATGAGTGAAGCTGTTATAGTGTTGTTTGCTGATACCCTCACTGTTGCAGCCGCCATTGTTGCTTTTAGTAGAGAACTCAAAAGGCAATGTCAGCAGCTGTTAGTATTATTTAACTGGAACCACACACCAATTTGGTCAGACTTTGGAATAAATTTATTACTCACTCGGTCACTCCGTCCCATTTTAGTCCTTCAACTTGGCATAATACTCCCTCCGTCCCTTTTTAGTTGTCCACTTTAGAAATGACACACAGATTAAGGCAACAATGATTAGCACAGTGAAGTTATAATTTTACCCTTATGACAACTTTTCACTTCAAAATTACAACCACTTATTTGAATTAAAGTGAAATAAATTGGAGGGAAACAACATACACTTTTACAATTTTCAAGAAGTGTAAATAAGGGTATAATAGGAAAAAATTTGTTGTCCTTTCTTGATTTGTCAATAGGGACAACTAAAAAAGAAAATATGGACAAGTAAATAGGGACGGAGGGAGTACTGTTTTTAAAAAAATTCTCTTATTATATAAGAGGGAGTTTAGGATGGGACATTGTGATGTCCAATCATAAACTCCCTATATAATATATAATATATAATATATAATATAATAAATTATTTTTTTTACTATATAATATATATTTATTTTTCTACTATAAGGGAGTTTATATAGTATATAATAATATAATATAATAAATCATTTACAAATGACTTAAAATATTTCATATTTAAAGGATATATAATAAAATAGGTTTACTCTTAAAATTCTATCCGGGTCACATATATTGGGACAGAAAAAATAACATATATCATTTTAAAATTACCAAAAAAAGTATTATAAATAATAATAATTAACAACTTAAAATATCTTAAAGACATTTTAAAAGGGTTAATTTTGTAATTGTAATTCTACTATTATATAAGAGGGAGTTTATCATGGGACATTCTATGTGTCCCATCATAAACTCCCTATATAATATATAATATAATAAATCATTTTTTCTACTATATAATATATATAATGTATATTTATTTTTCTACTATATAATAAAAGGGAGTTTATATAATATATAATATCATAATAAAACCCCTTTTATTATATAGTAGAAATAAATATAATATATATATATATAATATAATATAATAAATCATTTACAACTGACTTAAAATATTTAATATTTAAAAGATATATAATAAAATAGGTTGACTCTCAAAATTCTATTCGGGTCACATATATTGGGACAGAAAAAATAACATATATCATTTTAAAATTACCAAAAAAGTATTATAAATAATAATAATTAACAACTTAAAATATCTGAAAGACATTTTAAAAGGGTTAATTTTGTAAGTTTATCCATATCACATAAATTAGGACAAAGTGACCAGCAATGTAAGTTATTTGAAAGTTACATAAAAATATTATAAATCACAATAATTAATAACTTAGAACATTTTTAAAAAAAATGCAAATTTGGATGACTCTTCAAATTTCATTTGTGTCACATAAATTGAGACAACAAAAATAACATATATTGCGTCCATTTTAATTTATTTGTCTTAATTTTTTTTATATTTAAAAATTGCGTAAAAATACTATAAATCATGATAATTGACAACATAAAATATTTCAAAAATAAATACATATAAAAAAATTCAATTAATTCTTGAAATTAATCTATCGTTAAAAATAATGTATAAAATACAATAAATCGTGATTTTGACCACTTAAAATATTTATTAAAAAAACATAAAAAATAAATTGACTGATTATTAAAATTAATCTATCAATGTCACATAAAATGAGACAAAAGTAGTAATATGTATTGTTTAATGTGAAATTATTGAAAACTACGTAAAATGTATTATAAATGTTAACAATTAACAACATTTGATTGAATCTTGAAATTTTATCAATGCTACATATATTCAAACAAGTGGAGTAATATATATTAAGTATTTAAAAATTACGTACAACCATATTGCTTTCTGTAGGCTTCGAATTATCGTGGTAATTTTTTAGGCTGATACAAGTTTTGTACTTTTTTTTAATATTATAAATCGCAATAATTAATAATTTAAAATAATTTTAAAAATATATTAAAAATTTAGTTGGTTTCGGGAATTTTATTTATACTATATAAAATGGGACAAAGGAAGCAACATATATCATTTACAAATGACTTAAAAAGCATTAAAAATTACAATAATTACAAATTTAAAATATTTAAAAGCTATATAATAAAATAGGTTCACTCTCAGAATTCTTTCAGGCTCACATATATTAGGACAGAAAAAATTACACATATCATTTTAAAATTACCAAAAAAGTATTATAAATAATAATAATTAACAACTTAAAATATCTTAAAGACATTTTAAAAGGGTTAATTTTGTAATTTTATCCATATCACATAAATTAGGACAAAGTGACCAGTAATGTTGGTTATTTGAAAGTTACATCAAAATATTATAAATCACAATAATTAATAACTTAAAACATTTTTTTAAAAAAAATTAAAATTTGGATGACTCTCCAAATTTTATTTGTGTGACATAAATTGAGACAACAAAAATAACATATATTGGGTCCATTTTTTTTTGGGTTTTTTATATTTAAAAAATGCGTAAAAATATTATAAATCATGATAATTGACAACATAAAATATGTTTTGAAAAAAAATACAAAAATTTCCACTCATTCTTTAAGTAAATTTATCGTAAAAATACTATAAATCATGATAATTGACAACATAAAATATTTCAAAAATGTTGTATGTGGATAGTCTTATTGTGCCTTGAATAACGTCAAATAAAGTACAAGTTTGTGATAAAAAAACTTATTCCTTTATCCACGCAAACAATCGCTTCAAAATCTCTGTTATTAGCCCCAAAACATATCATTTATATTATTGGGCCCATGCCCGTGCATAGCACGGGCAACATTACCTAGTAATACTATAATTGAAACTTAGTGATCTAAAATAATGTTTAGATATTTAAATTATTTTGTTAAAAATAAAAAAGAATTAAAATTAAATTATTTTTAATTATAGTAAAACTATAAAGATAAAGGTTATCACATAAAATATGGCATTGGGAGTATATTATATTTTATACACCACTTCTCTTGGTACATTTACCTACATATTACTAAAAGTAAGAAACTCAAACCTAAATGTGGGTGATTTTTTTTTTAATGGGATGATCTTCTTAAATTTGTCTATATATTTTATTTAGATACTGAAACTTAGTTTTATTTTAATTGAACACTTCAATTTTAATAAAGTGTTACGATTAAACACTTCCAATTTAAATTTTGAAGAAGAAAAAATATACATGTTTTCGTTTGTCTATTTTGATAGTTAAGTAAACTATATAAAATATGTCATTTCTTTAATCATATGCGTTAGTGTCAACTAAAAAATGTATGAGATTTTATGGCTTACAAATGTATATAATTAAAAGAAATAACATATTTTATGTGGTTAATTTAACTACCTAATAAATGAATGAGAAAACATGCAAAAAGAAAATTAAAATTTGAAATGAATGTGTCTAATTGAAATACTTTATTAGGAGTTGAGATGTTTGATTAGAACAAAATTTAGTTCAAACGTCTAAATGAAATCAAAGTAGTTGTGTCACATGAATTCCATGTATTATATAGAAATGAGTTTAGCATCCTCGTCAAAATATGTAACCTGAGGTTATTTTAAAAATGGAAAAGGGTCAAAAATACCTCTGAACTACAGAAAAAGGTTTTAAAATACCCTTCATCCATCTTTTGGTCTAAAAATACCCTTTCATTCACTTTCTTGGCTCACTTATCTCGAACTAACAACCCTCTCTTTATTTTGTTTTTTTTGTTTTTAAATATTTATTATGTATCATTCTCTTATTGGGTGAAATAAATCCTCATCTTGACTAGATTTTTTCACATAATTTATCCAAGCCAAAAGAATATATTTCTTTAAGATCTCAATTATTTTTATTTTTAAAAAAATAAATCTAATAGTCTTTTTTATATTTGTTGTAGTTTTTTATTTTTTAGTTTCTTTTAGATCCGGCTCCTCTCCACCTTTTTTTCTCTATTTTCCCCAAGTTCTTACTTGGATTGAAGGCACATGGCATAAGGAAAAAATTAACGGCTAAAATTTAATTAATTAAATCAAAATAATAAACATGATAAATAATAAATATTGCATAAAAAAATAAATAATATCATGATCATAATAATATTATCTTATCCATAATACATTATAATTTTTTCTCTTTTTTCCTATTTTTAATTTTGCTTACGGGCTACGGCCTACGAGCATCTATATTCTTTTTCGTCTTTTCTCTTTGAAATTAACAGTTACAAAGAGTCTTAGTAAAAAAATTAAATGATCATTTTTTTTAAAAATAAAATAAAAGGAAGATAGATTTTAGGATTTATGATAGTATAATATGTCCTTATAATTGTGGCATTACTAATAATCTTTTAATTATATAAATTATCTAAAACAGTTTTTTTTTTAAAACTATACAAAATTCAAATTACTAGATTTAAAAAAATATGTTTTTGAGGTCTTGAAGAGATATATTGTTTTAATTTGGATAAATTATGGGGAAAATTAATAGAGGTGGATTTTATTTCATCCAATAAGAAAATGACACATAATAAGTATTTAAAAAAATAAAGAGAGGGTTGTAAGTTTCAAGGGTATAAGTGAACTAAAAAGGTGAATAGAAAGGATGAATAAAAGGATATTTTTGGACCAAAAGATGGATGAAGGGTATTTTTAGACCTTTTCCTATAGTTCAGGGGTATTTTTGGCCTTTTTCCGTTTTAAAAAAGAATTTAAAAAGGGAAAAAGGAAAAATATACCCCCCGAACTATCGTAAATGGTATGCAGATACCCTTCGTCATACTTTTGGGACATTGGTGCCCTTGCTGTCCAAAAACTAAAGCATATATGCCCTGCAACTAGGGAAATTAACATCCGAATTGATGTAATCCTAGTCACTAGCGAGTATGTGTAAAAATAATCAAGACCTTTCTGTCTAAAGCCTTTGACAATAAGTCTTACTTTGTATTTGTCAATAGTTCCATTATCTTTCATCTTCCT